TTCCAGAACAGACAAGATAATAAAGTGATGAGAGAGGTTGAGCATGTCACAGCATGGAGCGTATCACTGTTCAACCAGCAGCAGAAGACTAACGAGTAGAACAGATATGCACAGTTCTAGAGTCCAAATCTTGGCCGTAATTGTAGTACTGAGTACAGGCGTAAACAAATCACAGACAAATGTTTAATTAGGATGACATGATTTAAGATTAAAGGCATCACATGAATAAAAAGTGACAAAAAAACTAAAATTACCAACAAGCCAATAAAATCACCTCAAAAGGAGGGCACAGAGGACTTGATTAAAACTGGATATTTTTAAAATGAGTAAATTCACATGATTTAAAAGAACGAGTAAAGAAAACTCTTTTTATAGCATGGCCTTCACTTTGCGGGATAATTTTCTTACGTTTGGAAATATGGAAATGAAACATTATCCTAAGATTTTTTTTTCTCTTTTTTGGGCTGTCATTTCGATCACCTGTGTGGAGACTACTGTTTCCTTTGTTCTGGTTAATTTGTCTTGTTAACGATATGAGCATAAACGGGGGTAATAGTAGTTTATTTTACTTTTGCAGTCCCTGATGACCCACATAACTGATATTTGTCTTGTTATGTATTCAGATTTTTATCCCTGGTCCCTCCTAGTGGTTATATTTACTTGTATTTGTGCTTTTGTTGTTTTTTACATAATTTTTGTTCAATTTTGCTTAGTTTGTTCTAGTGATGGTCAAATAATAAGAATAATTGAAGAGATGGTACCCATCACGATTAACCAAGGTAAACCTTTCGACCATTTGAAGATTATCGTCATATACACAGGCCAAACTAACTACTAAAACAGATTGACTAACAAGTACAAAAGGGAGAAGATTACTAGCAAACATAATGACTGACCCAAGCTTTCTCCTTCATTTGTGTATAGTTCTCTTGAATGTAGGAATATCAGAATGCAACATTCTTCAGTGGATATGTTCAACAAAATGACAACAAGATCAGTTGATTTTCACCAACCCTACAGTCCAGACAAAAGCTTAGTTTGGATTAGGCCTTATATAGAGCAAAATTTGCTGCAAAACCATCCAATTACAAATGGGAATCCAGGGAGCATAACTGCCCTAAGTATTCACCTTCATTAAATAAGACTTGATGCTTTACATGGTGGAGAATAAAAACAGGGCTTGTGGTTACATCATGTGGATAGATTTCCCTTGGAAGGGGTATGGTTCTGATAAAAACTGTAGAGTGTGTGCTTGACGTTTCATCCAGCATGCTCTCGTCATCCTCAAGAGTGGAGCCTGATAAACCATGCTCCAGATTTTACAGAACAATTGTACATGTATACAAAATTATGTACAAATATTGTTTCAAAATCTGGAACACGACTTTCATTGTTGGGCTCAAATCAGAACATGATATAAAGTGCTTACCGAGTGAGCTGTGTTGTCAGCAATGCCAATTGCCAGTGATGTGTTAAACTCCAGAAAACTGTCTCCAAGGGGCTTGGTCTTTTCTCTTCATCAATGCTACAGCTAATAAAACCACAGAGTCAAGTCAACTAAGATCAGGGCCGAATAACATACAAGTAGACATCACTGCCATGTCTTTATAGTCTTTAACTTTCATTTTCGTATTGACCTTTGTTTCAACTCTCTTCAATTGTTGGTTGATCAGCAAACACAACCAATGAAAAGTCATCATTCTAAAGCTTCGAAGCAGCCATTTTAAACTAATACCCCTTCTACTTTCTTGGGCTCTTTCAACAGCCCCAGAAAGAAGAAAATTTTGACAGTCCAAAATCGTCTGATTCAATAGGATTTTGTGTACACCGAAGGGGCCCGGTTGGGCCAAACACTCTCTGATATTTCACGTTTTACCTGCCACCCAACATTTATCAATGGTATTAAATTATGGCTCCCCATACACAGGTGTGTCACCCACGTTTACACGAAAATTAAATTAATCCACAGAGAAGGACCTCCGTCCCTGTCAACTTTTGGAAAAGTGAAGAGACCTGTAACATAATGACGTCATGCTTAGTTTCTTAAGGCAGTGAGGTGGGAAGCAATAACTGTCCAAGTAAAAAATAATAGCTTGACGTCATTATGTTTTGGGTCAATATATGAAATATATATGAGTCCACAGGGGACTGAATCAGTGAATTATACCTTTGAAATAACCAACAACATTGGACCCACGTACCTTTTACCCAGCAGGCAGCAGCAAGAGATCAAAATCCGATCACCTCATCAACGAGCACAGGAA